TCACGATCAAGCAGCAGACTGGTTGTGAATAGGATTCATCAAAGAAAATGGTAGATTGGAGATGAGAAACTGCACATTGTGATAATATACTGACATCCATGCTCGACAGTGCCGGAATGGCCGCCAGTTTTGATCTGGAAATGCGATGCAAATGACTGAAAGACGTGCTTCCTACATGGAGAATTTGAAGAAGAAATATATATGGAGCAGCCAGAGGTTCATAAAAGGGAAAGAAGAGTTCATGTTGTAAACTGAAAAGATGCCGGCTGTTATCGGGCTTGAAGCAGGCACCATAGGGAAGTGGTACAAGAATTTGCATCCTGTTCTAATGGGGAGCAAGGTACCAAAGAGAAACATCAAAGCACTGTGTCTGTCGTAAAAATTCTCTGTGATGACGTAGCATTACCGCTTGCTCTAATTAATGATAGTTAGTTGGCAGAATTTTGTCGAGAATTAATGGCTTGAAGAAACCTAAGTAGTTGTTGCTAGAAAACTTAGGACCTACGCAACAGCAATTCTTGGAGAAGATTAACAAGCATAGTAGACGAGAACCAGACAAGATTGATGGTTGCACACGGAGAAGGTAGCAATTTGAGAAGGTACTCAAAGGTTCCTAATAATGAGAACGGCTGAAATGGCGGTTAGTTGTCCTCTTGCAATACTGTAATAGCCAAACGAATGCCCTTCTCCGATGGAGAGAAGGAAGAGATGGAAAAGATCCCATATGCTTCGAGCAGTTAACTTGATGATGCCATGGCGTGACACTGCCAATAGCGCTATCCAGTCGGAGTAGGTGAGTCGTTCTTCGTCAAACAATCGGGAAACGGAACATTGGGCTGCAGTGTAAATGGATTCTTCAGGTATCTTCGTAGGTACACAAAGTATGTTATTTTGGAGATGAGAACCCAGTATTAGTCGTAACCGAGCAGGATATGACTGGGGATAGTTGACTGCGAGAAAGTCCAATCAGGGTATCTAGATCATCATTTGTCGAGGGGGAGCTGTGTCGGGCTAGGTCAAGATTACAGAATGCGTTGCCCTATCACAACAACTAAACAAATCATGAAGCACTAACAGAAGCAGCAAAGAGTTGCTGTGGATGAAGAAGGCTTGAATGAACTTGGAATGTGCCATGCAAGAACGGATGTTGATATTCTGCGATAGCTAGATGCATTCATCCTTGGAAGCAATTCCTCCCTTTCAAAGTTCAAGATCAAGAGCACATTGTGATGGGTTAGATAATATGTCAGGATATTGGGATGTACTGTGAGAGACAGCGAGTTAACAGCTTGAGAAAGTCATTACAAGATGAAAATGATAGATATGCTTAGACGAGGATTGCTCGCCAAAAGACAAGTGGAATATTGCCGATTAGCTGCAGGAGTGCTGGAGAGATGGCTGATGTCCCCCCTTGTGAGTGTGCAGGGGATGATTGTTGGTGGTGGTGTGCCCACTCAAGTGGGACCGTCACACATTTTGTTGGTGTGTTAGGTGACTCACAAAACTTAGTGGGTGGTGGCGTGCCTACCCACACACCGTGAATGAAGCAAAGAACAGAACAAAATAAAGAAAAGAAAGTCTGACAAACAGAGAGCGTGCACGAGTATGGCACCGCTCCTGCTCCATCCTCTCCTATAGAATAGAGGACTTATAAGGCCAACTAAATAACTACACCAACCGCTAGAATAGAAAAGAGAGAGTATAATTTGTAGGAATTCCTAAAAATTAAGGGAGAGAAAATAGTGAGGGAAATTTTTGGGGTGTTTGGGAAAATACTGTGAGCCACGATTGTATTACGCCGTTGTAGAGCTACTAAGGTTAATAGTAAAGAGAAATATCGGTAGTTGTCCCGTTGAACCGTAGCCTAACAGTTAAAGGGTGAACCCACGTAAATTTGTGTGTCTCCATTCCCTTTTTATTTGTTCCGCTGCACAGTTAAGGGTGAACCACGTAAATTTCTGTGTGTCCCATTTTTATTTTTCCGCTGCCGTAATTATTCTCGTAATTTTATTGCCGGTATCCTAACAAATTGGTGTACACTTATGTTTTCAGTAGAGGTACATAATATATTGTATTTACCATTAAATTGAAAACTTCAGTTTTTCAGCTATTTGTTTCTTCAATTATGGAAACGAAACTGCAAATTTTATTTTTTATTTTTCTTAATTTTATTTCTATTTGTTTTCAAAAAGTTTGTGACAACCATCTATGGTTTAGCCTTTCAGAAGGGTCACATGATAAATGAAGATCTAACCTATAGGACTAAAATGAGATACATGAATAGAGAAGTGCTAAAAATGTAATTCGTAGAGGAAGTTATTTAACAAAGTGAAAGACAAGTTTTATAAAACGGGAATAACATTTAATGTTATATATGAATAAATGTTAAACCTTGAATGCACAATGTATTAACAAGATGAATATGAATATTGCAGAAATGAAGATGTTATGATGGACGTGTGATCACATAAGATTAGATAAGATAACAACTATGCGAGTAGCACAAATTAGGATAAGATGATAGAATGAAACTTGAGATAGTTTAGTCATATCTTATCACACCATATGTATGTCGATTCATAATTGTGATACGTTGATGGTAAAATGTAGTAAAAAAGAAAAAATAGACTTAGAGTGACATAGATGGAAGTTGTATCAAAATATTTACTACTTAATATTAATATAAACGTAGTTACAAATAAAGCAAAAGGAAACTAAAAGAACCACTTCGAGATTAAGGCTCAATAATTGTTACTCTCTTCTTTTCCAAAAGATAGTCCACTTTCTATTTTTACACAGATTAAGAAATACTCACTATGTCTCAAAATATAAGTCATTTTTTTTGTAATTATTTGTCCTAAAATATAAGTCGTTTTTAGTATTTTAAGTAGTAATAACGATGTTTTCAATGTTACCATACAGTAAAGACTTTTATAAGTACCTATTGTTTTTGAGATAAAAGATAATTTAATCAAGTTACTCTTTGATTTTGTTATAATCTAGACGATTTAATTGCTACTTTAATTCTTGTGCAAAAACCTTAAACGACTTATATTTTGAGATAGAGAGAGTAACAATTATTATGGTTAAAAGGACAATTTTATTTATATAACTTTTTATGTCCATTTAAAATAATACATGAGCAACTGTTATATTAGAATAATAAGTAATAATTAATGAGGATTATTGAAAATAAAATAAAATTTAATAAGAGTATAGTAGACAATTTTAAGAATTAACTATAATACAAAAAAGAAAAGTTGATATAATTTGTAACAAACTAAAAAGGAAACTAAAAAGGAAAGATGGATCGGGACGTACGGAGTATTTATCATTTATATTATTCATTTATTAAGATTAAACTATTACATTTTTAATATAGATAAATTATTGTTTCATCTCTCAAACTTAAGCATAATTATAATTTTGTCTCTCTTCTTTGATAACTACACTACTAGTCCCCAAAAAGTGAAATCCGCTCTAATGGTTCTGAATAAATTAAATACACGTGCATTAAAATACATAGACTTCTTATTCCACAATAATGAAATCATTTTTTTAGTCTTTCATATACTCAGAAATTTCACTTGAAAATTTAAGATTTAGCTCCGTTTAACTATTCACTCATTCATCCAAAAACTATAATTTTTATAATTAGATGAGGAAACTAAAAATTATTTAATAGTAAACACGAAAAATATAATACTAACACTAGTTTAAATGTAAAAAAAAAAATTAAATAATCAAATATTATAAGATATGGAATAACTAAATAGTTTAAAATGTTTCTTTTTTGGGAGAGAGCGTATTTAAACATGATTTTATTATCAGGGTTGTATACACACTTACCAGAGACTATATCTTGTTGTGCAACTAAATAGTTTAAAATGTTAAATTTAGTAGATTTGATAGGTGTATTTATCAAATAAATAAAGGACATGAAATTATACTCAAATGAGGGAATAAACAGTAGTAACCCTGCACATGGCCATCTGTTCATTTTAAATGGGAATCGAATCGGAACTGAAGCGTACTGTAGATGAATCGAAATCGAATTGAAATCGTCAGTTCAAAGTTTTAAATCAAAATTAAGGGTTTACAGGTCGGTTAAAGTTTATGTGAATGTTAAAATTTAAATCTGAACCAGCCTTAAACCGGCGGTTTAACCGACAGTTTCGGTCCGATTCGAACCGAAAATTTTCTATTGTTATTTTCAAAATGATAATCACTTAGCATATTTTATACACTTCCAAAAGTCTCAATAATTTTTTATTACATAATATACTTTACTTAAGATTTTTTTTTTTTAATACCTTTTTGTTTAAAAAGGTTAAAAATCTAAAAAGTAAAAAATGGTAATAGAAAATGAGAAATATTTAGTCAAAACTTATATATTTGCTAACCTTTTTTTTTTACGCCGAGTTTATAATGTTTACGTAAATTTATAAATTAAATCTTTTGAGTATTTTTCAAATAATTTTCGTTATTAATAATATTTAAATAAAATAAAGGATAATGATTTGATTTTTTGTAAAATATGAGTAGCAAGCAATCTATTATTTTAAAATAAAATCGCTAAATTTTAACGCATATAATATGTTTGAAAGGAATATAACGATGTTAGAATTATCTTTTAAAAACCATAATATATATTATATCAGTAGATATAATATATAGATATAACTTAGTATATTATATATAATATGAATATATATATATCGGAAACTGTAATCAGAACCGTCGACTAATCAAAACAGTACTGAAATTAGCTAGATCAGAAATCGGACCGAAACCGGCAATTAAAAACCAGTTCACATTCAATATTTTAAAAATTTTGACCGGGCCATGCCTAAGTAACCGTTTAATCTTACCGAATTTCCAGTTATCAACGGTTTGATGAAATCGGTCCGATCGATACAATGGCCGTGTTACACGGCGAGTAATGACGGGCTTTTGTTTCATTCATGAACGCACAACAATTCTTCAATTGCTGAGCCTAACAAGGTATAACGATCATGGATTCGCTGCCGTACGCCGAAGCTGACTTCAGCCTCCGAGCATTAGCAAGGGGAGCTGAGGGATTTGGCCGTTCCGCCATTGGTGGCTTACATGGTCCGATCTATTCTGTCACCACTTTGGCCGGTATTCTTGCTCTCTCTCTCTTTTAAGCTTCATTTTATTCGATCTTTTTTTTTTTTTTTTTTTTTTTTTCGATATCTTTTTTTTTTTTTTTTTTTTTGGCCTTGACTTTTTGGTAATTACCTTTGTTTTGTTCTCCATTTTTTTTTTTTTTTTTTTTTTTTTGGCCTTTTGCTTTTTGGTAATTACCTTTTTGTTTTGTTCTCCATTTTATGTACGCTGTTCATATAATGTTTTTTTTCATGTTTATCTGATAATAAAATGGTTTTAATTAGACATTTATATTTAATTATCGTAGTTGTTTTTAGCTTTGTTTGGGATGTAGAATTGGTAAATTCAATGAAAATAGAGCTATTTTTGATTGGTAATGTTCATTGGTATTTGTTAGGGGTTTCTAGTGATGATTGTGGTTTGCTTAGTGGTTTAGAAAATTTTTCTTATTGTTTTTAATCGCTCCTTTACTGGGTTTCTTATTTAGTGCATCAAGTTCTTGTGGTAATTTGAAGTACTTGTGTTTTGGCATTTAGATGATGGTCCTGGATCCCTTCGTGAGGGTTGCAGGAGAAGTGAACCTCAATGGATTGTTTTTGAGGTTTCAGGCACCATAAATCTTTCTTCATACCTAAGTGTGTCGTCTTATAAGACAATAGATGGCCGAGGCCAAAGGGTAAAGCTAACTGGCAAGGGCTTAAGACTGAAAGAATGCGAACATATTATTGTATGTAACCTTGAGTTTGAAGGTGGTAGAGGACATGATGTTGATGGAATTCAAATAAAGCCAAATTCTAGGCATATTTGGATTGATCGATGCAGCCTTCGTGATTACGATGATGGACTTATTGACATCACTAGACAAAGCACTGATATTACTGTTTCTAGGTGGGTTTTCTTTTTTCCCTTGCTTATTAAAAGATTACTATCAATCTTATGTGTAAAATATTTGAGAAATGTGATTTTATTTTGTTTTTGCACCAGATGTTATTTTACACAGCACGACAAGACAATGCTTATTGGAGCAGACCCTTCTCATGTTGGTGATAGATGCATCCGAGTTACCATTCACCATTGTTTCTTTGATGGAACAAGACAGAGACAACCTCGTCTTAGATTTGGGAAAGTGCATATGTATAACAATTACATAAGGAATTGGGGAATATATGCTGTTTGTGCTAGTGTAGAAGCCCAGGTAGCAATTGATGCTTTATTTAATAAATTCGAGCATAGGAGGTGTTCTGCCTCTAGAATATCTGCAGCAAATGTAGCCAATGTCTCAAGCTCATAAATCTGAAATTATTAGTATTTCTAACTATTTTATTTTTCTATTTATTCTATTTATCAGATATATTCGCAATGCAATATATATGAAGCTGGACAGAAGAAAAAGACCTTTGAATATTACACAGAGAAGGTAAATGATGTTCTGATCCTCAATTAATAGAGCTGTAATTGTGAGTTATTTTAACTTTATAATTGTTTTATCACTATTGAAGAGTTTGTAAAATATATTAAAAAAAACTCTATTCTAAGCTAAAAACAAGTAGTGAAACATGAATTGATTTTGTACATCTTGATGAATATTACCTCGGACAGGGCAGAAAGAAGAAGCACTGATTTGGCTAATGTAAACTATTTTAGGAACAGGGCTTAGCTAAGTTGGATATTTTAAGTTGTATATCATATCATTTTTGTAGGCTGCAAAATATGATTTCTAAGGAACCCATTATAGAGTACCAGGCCTCTGTCCTCTGGTTTTGGCTAAACCTCGAATCATATCCAATGTAATGCTACAAAAATGGCTCCAGAAAGTAGTGAAGGAAGCCACTTCTGGACAGCTGTGATTTATTTGGAAAACTACCAATTGTAGGAGATCATACTTGAAACTCTCCTGATACTATTGGTTTTAACTGATTTCTAAATCGGGAAGTTATGTTCATGTAACTGTGCCTTATTTGAAGAGCTAAAACAAAGAAGAAAAAAGAAAAAGGAAAAATGAAAGACAGAGATGTGGTTGTTCTTCATAAAACTGAAATAACAACAATATGCGTAGCTAAGAACTTTTCATCAAAAGGTGTTTGTGTGCGCCTGTTGCATTTTCCTATTTCAAAATATTTCTAATCGATGTGGCTGTTAACATGATTTTTGTGATGGTTTTGTAGGCAGCAGACCAGGAAGAAGCCAGGTCCGGCTTAATAAGATCCCAAGGAGATGTATTCCTAAACGGAGCTCAAGCTTGCTTATTAACTGGGATCGGTGAAGAATATGTGTTCCATCCAAGTGAATGCTATCCAACATGGACACTGGAGGTTCCTTCAGGGTCACTGAAAGAGGTTCTCCAAATATGTGCAGGTTGGCAATCTGCTCCTCGACCAGAAGAGATTACAGCAGTTGCACAGTAACTTGCATGTTTTGAAAAGATCTTTTTTTATTCCGCCTAAAGACTTGTCAGGTGTCTGAAATTTGGCCTTGTTCCAATTCAGCCTAATATGATAATTGAAATTTTTTTGTAGTGATATTATCTGTAGATAGTCAAAACTATGGTAATATTGATGAAATATTAGCTTTGCCATTTAGTTAGTTCAAAGTTAAATTTTGCTGAAATTTTAACCTTTTTCTTCTAATTTTTTGCATTTCAATTTTTTTTTTAGCATTATCAGTTCTTGAACTACAAATAAAAAATACCAATCAAGAATCAAATGTCAGGAGTAGAAGGTCATGATAATTATTTTTCAGCAGCACTGTTTAAATGCCTGTTTCTTGCCTCATGCAACTAACAACATTGGTAGAGAGAACAAGAAGCTTTCAGTATTAGTGTTATTTGAACTTCAATTGCAATATAACACCGTTTATATTGTACTGCATGTATTGTTTAAGCTTTTTCTTTCAGCGCAGAGCAACTAGATGTATTATTAGGGACAAAATTTACCGATTTGAGATAAAACTCAACCTTAAATTATCATGAAAATAAAGAAAATATAAAGACATTGACACGGAAGAATGCCTGGAAAAATCTCACTTGAAACTACTACAGTACTCTTGTTGAACTATCTTTGCTGCCACACACAGGCATTCTTCTTCCTTCTTTCATTAGCACTCTTTGAATAATATCTCAATTAAAATACTGCCTAAATTTGCCAAGTTGTGGTGACCCAGTAGCTCAATAGGTTGCCATTCAACCATAGCTATTTCTGTGCATTGGAAATAAAGCTACCAATGGTTTAGTGGTAGAATTATTACTCCCTTTTCTGTTTGTGTCGTTGTCTCCTGCAGAAAGACCCAACTAAAATGAGCATGGCGAATCCAGGTTAAATGTCTGTAACAGCTATGTGTGCGCGCGCTACTCAATGAGGCCATGAAATATGGAAAATTACATGCACATACAGCTTAATTCAAATATTCAATTCATGCTGGTTTTGAGATGGATCTGAATAACCTCTCTAATTTAATAGGTAATATCCCTGTGTCAATACAGAATATGAATACGAGGACTAAAAAAACTAAATAAATGCATTCAAATAAAGATGCAAATGAGATGATGGAAGATAAGAGAGGGCCTGCAAATGCATCTCTATGAAAGGTTGAGCACATTAAAGTCCTGAGAAAGAAGATGACAACAGGGTAGATCTAGGATGATCTGGAGTGAAATAAAGGATTTAGTAGCAGTAGACTTTTCCCTAGGTGTAACTCTAAACCAAGTGTCATACAAGTAAAGGATTTCTGTAGCCAACCCCAAGTAAACTGCTATTAAGGTTTATTTAGTTCAGTTGAATTGCATCAAGATGAACAACAGAAGTTGAGTCTGTAGTGAGCAATTGAAGGATGTGACAGTAACTATGCATGTCATACTTGCAAACCGAATAAGAGAAATAAGCACTATAAGAAATTGACTCCAGTCTGAATGTTCTCATAGGCAAGTAACAGAATTGAATTGAGTTTGCAGTAACATAACTGTTCTAGCCACAAATACCAAATGAATTTTGATTAGAGTCCTGCAAGGGAAACTGACAATAAGAACAGACAATGGCTTGGATATTCCACATTCAAACAATACACAAATTGACAACTACCATTTTCAGAAAAAGAAAAAAAATTGACAACTACTGTTACAAAAGCAACCTTAATTCAACAAGTGGCATTGAGGCAGTAACCATGCTGCAAATCAGAAGTGTTTAAATAGAAATATTAAAATGTACAAAGGTGTTCAAGTGCAACTCTTTTACCTGAGCTAAGTGCATGGTTGTTAAACTCTCAAGTTAACTCGTAAAAATTTTATGACTCTACATCACTAAAATGTGTTCGATCGCTTCTAAACTCACAAATCGATAATATTAGTACAATAAATCATGTTAAAATTGGTAAACTTGATTAACTCATTAAAAACGCTGGCTAAGTGAGCTAATCTATGAGGGATACTTTGACATGGAAAAGCCAAGAGCACGGACCCCTATCCGGAGTGTCAAGAGTACAGAAGAAGAAATTCAAATAAATGAATTTAAATATTTAGAAAAGTATGTGTATCCTTTCATACTTGTGCATGTAAAAACTATTCTTGAAGGGGCAAAGTAACCAATAGCTACTATAAAAGGGTCAAACCCTATTCAGTATAATCAGGACTTCAACCCTATTCAGTATATGAGGGATACTTTGACATGGAAAAGCCAAGAGCACGGACCCCTATCCGGAGTGTCAAGAGTACAGAAGAAGAAATTCAAATAAATGAATTTAAATATTTAGAAAAGTATGTGTATCCTTTCATACTTGTGCATGTAAAAACTATTCTTGAAGGGGCAAAGTAACCAATAGCTACTATAAAAGGGTCAAACCCTATTCAGTATAATCAGGACTTCAACCCTATTCAGTATATGAGGGATACTTTGACATGGAAAAGCCAAGAGCACGGACCCCTATCCGGAGTGTCAAGAGTACAGAAGAAGAAATTCAAATAAATGAATTTAAATATTTAGAAAAGTATGTGTATCCTTTCATACTTGTGCATGTAAAAACTATTCTTGAAGGGGCAAAGTAACCAATAGCTACTATAAAAGGGTCAAACCCTATTCAGTATAATCAGGACTTCAACCCTATTCAGTATATGAGGGATACTTTGACATGGAAAAGCCAAGAGCACGGACCCCTATCCGGAGTGTCAAGAGTACAGAAGAAGAAATTCAAATAAATGAATTTAAATATTTAGAAAAGTATGTGTATCCTTTCATACTTGTGCATGTAAAAACTATTCTTGAAGGGGCAAAGTAACCAATAGCTACTATAAAAGGGTCAAACCCTATTCAGTATAATCAGGACTTCAACGCAAGGGAACTTACAATAAGTACATACATATGGCTTGGCTACTCTCAACACACTCTAATCAATTTACATCATGAACTCAAACTCATCTATATTATACAAGAAAATAATAGAGCGTGCACAAAAAAATATCTTGACAAAATCTGACTGCTCTACTCGAAAAGAAGCAACTCTTGTAAGTTTCTTTTATGCATCACCAAGTGGTCTACTCTGTGAATCGCGCTTGTTCACCCATCTGGATGCCATTTAAGAGCTCTCCCAGACCATGCCTCAGAATCCAGATACGTGTTTAAATCAGTAGCAATGACATAGACGAGATAGCGTACATAATTTGTCTGTATACCAACTGCGTCAAATTCCCTTTTCCTTACCTGACGCTAAGGTCGCCTAGTGCACCGATTTATGTTTTTCGCATTAGTTATAATACATTCTACATTGAGTGAGGTTATATTTCGCTACAGATCTTTATAATAGATTATATCATGTATAACGTCACGTCCAGCATCAATCCCTAGAATAATCGCTCTATCGAACCATTAAGACCCTCTCCTCCGGATCCTATCCTACGTAATACCAACTACTAACGGGAAAGTCGATAACTGTCTCGTGATACATAATACACGATACATAGAGTGATTATCGAGCTCAATTTGGAGACAGGTGAGAGCATTCTCGAATGTCAGACGTCCTCTAAACGACCCATGAAGGCGTAAGGAGTCCAGCTAATCTATCTGAGGCGATTTTGCGACATGGAAAAAGGCCAGAAGCACGGACCCCTATCCGGAGTGTCAAGAGTAAGCAGAGAAGAGAATCAAAATAAATAGAATTATAACCTATATATCTTATATGAGAACGTATGCGCTCGCGCTTAGTTCTTTCATAGCTTGTGTGACATAGTATAACCACTCGTAGTCTCCGAGGAAGGCCAACAAGCCTAAAATTGATCCATAATCTATACTTGCTTTCCCTATCATAATAAGAGTGGTCTCTAAACACGGCCAATATTATAATGTATATAGTGCATACTCCCAGACTTCAAATATCCCGCGTGACAAGCGTACAAATCTGCAGAGAGAATATGGGTTGACTCATTGACAGAGAGCGTGAGAGAATTACTTTCTGCATGGAAAGCAAAAGAGCACGGACCCACGTCCTATCCTGTGCACCGATTTTTGCGCAATTATTTTAATTGTTATTTTTGAGTTTTGCCAATATAATGAAGCTTTGACCAGCCTGTTTGATTAGGCAGTAGTTATCTACAAATCAGTACAGAAAACGACACAGAATTCAAATATATAATATGAACTCTCTAAATATTTATTACACGCATAATATGGTGTGAGCTCTTTACTCAGGTCTGTCTATGAGCTCTGTGTGCGAAGTAGCGTAATAAAACTATTACTTCAGGGAGAAGTTATTCGCGAGAAGTACTCACGAATGAAATAGCTACTATAAAACGGGGCAAACCACTACTATCCAGGTTCATATAGATCAGGATAGCTTTCCATACACAGTACTCTCTACAGTAGAAATGCAATATATAATTACTCTTGATCACTCATCATATCTGAGAATTGGCCCTCTGAGTATATAAAAAAATAAATTAAGAGTGCAAGTATGAGGGATACTTTGACATGGAAAAGCCAAGAGCACGGACCCCTATCCGGAGTGTCAAGAGTACAGAAGAAGAAATTCAAATAAATGAATTTAAATATTTAGAAAAGTATGTGTATCCTTTCATACTTGTGCATGTAAAAACTATTCTTGAAGGGGCAAAGTAACCAATAGCTACTATAAAAGGGTCAAACCCTATTCAGTATAATCAGGACTTCAACCCTATTCAGTATATGAGGGATACTTTGACATGGAAAAGCCAAGAGCACGGACCCCTATCCGGAGTGTCAAGAGTACAGAAGAAGAAATTCAAATAAATGAATTTAAATATTTAGAAAAGTATGTGTATCCTTTCATACTTGTGCATGTAAAAACTATTCTTGAAGGGGCAAAGTAACCAATAGCTACTATAAAAGGGTCAAACCCTATTCAGTATAATCAGGACTTCAACCCTATTCAGTATATGAGGGATACTTTGACATGGAAAAGCCAAGAGCACGGACCCCTATCCGGAGTGTCAAGAGTACAGAAGAAGAAATTCAAATAAATGAATTTAAATATTTAGAAAAGTATGTGTATCCTTTCATACTTGTGCATGTAAAAACTATTCTTGAAGGGGCAAAGTAACCAATAGCTACTATAAAAGGGTCAAACCCTATTCAGTATAATCAGGACTTCAACAAATACTTTCAGGTAAATCAAAATTTATTTGACACTCATACTGAGAAATTGGTTTATTTAAAAAATAAATAGATAATGACAATAAAAACAGGAAAAATTATTGGTCATGCTGCAAGGAACAAGAACCATCGGAACTGCTTCATGCCAATTGATTAGACAAGTACTTCAAAAGATAGAATCAATTTCACTGCAAACTACTCGACCGCCTAGCAAATCCGCACAATAACTAGGAGAGACAACACGAGACACTTTTTTCTTTTGTCACATGGGAAGCCATTCCATCTGGCATTTGAATAACTCAGCTTTTCTGCACTTGAAACCATTATAAAGTGAAGCCCTCTATTTTTCGGTTTTTAAAGTAAAAAGTTCATGGATAAGAACATTACATACAGACAATAAAACATTGTCATCTTGCCTAATAATATCAATTATTCATTGCATATGTGTATTTTAATAGTAGAACTTACCTGCACCAACATTATAGTTTCTTTTCTCAGAGTAGACCATCAAATTAGGATTGGCAGTTGATACAGATCAAATTAGGAGATCCAAATGGACAGAAAGAAATTGGATCAAGAGCCTGTCAATGAAATCAAAAAGAGTTAATAAGAAAATAAAGCAAATCTTACTCTAAATTATGATTCATCAAAACAGACTTTTGATATGCATCACCTCTCAGCATGTTGAATGAACACAAAATCAGATTTGTCTTGTTCTCTGGCTCAATTGATCTTGTGCAGATTAACTTTTACATGGGGGATGTTAGAAATCTTGTGCCAATCTTCTCCTGTCTCCCGTTGACACCTCCGTTCCAGCAGAGGACATAAATAGACAGACAAAGACGAAAGCGATGATGGCAGCTCTTCTGGGATGGACTGAAGCTTAGGACAGTTGCAAATCTCCAATTCCCTTAGAGAGTTGAGATGTTGAAGTCCATTGTAGTCTAGACATTTCAGGTTTTGGAAATCCCAAATTTTAAGAGATGTAAGCGAGGAAGGCAGGAGCATCTTTTCAGGGAAGGATTCCACATTTGAGCAACCCAGCAACAGAAGCCGCACCAAATTTGGGGCAGGTAATCTTCCTTTGAGAAAAGATACTAAATTAGGACATTCCCTTATCTCCAAGGAATTGAGAGATGCAAAATTCTCACGAGTTGCCTCAGTTGTACAAAGGGACTCAAGGAAAGAACATCTTGTGATGCGGAACCTCTTTAACTTTGGGAACAACTCTAGTGGGAAGCACTTGAGTGAATCATGGTTTCTAATATCAATTTCTTCTAGAGTTCTGGAAAAACTGCCCACTAGATCTATTATTGAATCTAGACAGTAGAATCTATCAATTGTAAGACTATGTAGCCCAGAAGGCAATTGCTTTAATAGCACATCACGAGATTCATCCTTCAACTTCATTTTAAGGATTGCTGGAGCTCTTGGAAGAGAAGCTACAAGCTGCAGGCATCCCTCAATCTCAAGTGTTGTTAAAGAAGGAAGGTGAGTAGGCAAGGATGTTGCTAGGTTGGGACATTCTCTAATGTGAAGCTCTTGGAGGAGAGGGAAAGCTCTATATTCATCTTTGTCAACAGAAGAAATCCATTTATGCCATTGTGGCATGCTTTCAAACTTCAAGATTTTGAGGGATCCAAATGGCTTCTTCATGGATGTGCAATTTCCATAGAACTCAGGACCAACATCCACAATTCCATCGAAGTCTGTGATTGAGAGGTCTTTTAGAGATGCTAATTGCCCAAGTGGTGGTAAAGAAAAACAGTATTTGCATCCACTAAGCTTCAGGAATACAATATTTGAGAAAGATGAATCTCCTAACCAATCAGGAAATCCTTCACCCCTATAACCAACTATTGAAAGACATTCAATATTTGCATGGGGTTGTAATTGCTCAAGCACACCTTTCTGATGTACTGAATTATCAGTACCACTGTTCCACATCAATTCCAACTCCTTAAGGTGCCTCTTACCATTCAAATTGGCTGTGCAAGCATCTTCAGCATCCACAATGTTTTCGAGATTCCAAATACAAAGTTTTCCTCGTAGATGCTGAAGCTCACCCAACTCTTTAATGTTAGATCCACCGTGTTTGCTAATAATTAAACATGTTAACAAATGGAGATTTTTTAACTCACCCATTCGCGGTGGCATCTCTTGCAATTTTGTTCCTCCAATATCAAGATGACGCAAGTTGATTAACCTTGCCATTTGGGTTGGCAACTCAATGAGATCTTTGCACTGACACAATATTAATGTTCTCAAATCGCACAAGCCACATATCGATTCAGGTAAACTTATGATCGATGTTCCAGAGAGATCCAAGTGACGCAAATGCTTCAAGTTTCCAATTGAGTCAGGTAAAACAGCAAGATTTGTGCACTCATGCAAGATTAGTGTTTGCAAATTATACAAAATACTCACAATTTCAGGTAAGCTTTTTATTGATGCCGTAGAAAGATTTAGATATCGTAAATGCTTCAAGTAGCCAATTGATTTGGGTAATGCAGCTACACTACGATACTGAGATAGGGATAGTACTCGTAGTTTCCTAAATTTCAGCAATAAATCATTTATTACCTCATTATCAATGCATGACCACTCTACAAGAAGGAAGGTACGCAAAAGCTGCGCTTCATATATGCCCTCAAATTTCTTACTGCTATCATCTTCTGCTCTCACATATGATAAATGGCGAGTCTTTTTAGTAATCTTGCATGAATCTTCACCCTCCAACCTAGAGCAAAATTCTCTAGATACATTTTTGGCCAAGTCATTTATTAGGTCGTGCATAATGAAGCATGAGCGGTAGTCACTTGATCTTTGAAAAAAAGACCTTGATACAAGTTCTTGAAAGTAATCATCGCCCACTTCTTCCATCTCCTTATGTACAAAGGAATGAACCAAGAAACCCTCTGCCATCCATAAAAGGATTAATTCTTCTTTTTCAAATTCATAATCCTTAGGAAATATTGCACAATAAGCAAAACATCGTTTTAGATGCGATGGTAGATAATGATAGCTCAATCTTAAAGCTGGAAGTATGTCATTTGATGTATTCCACAAGCTGCTTTTCAATATCTTCTCCCATTCCTCAACATTTCTGTTGGAGCGTAGAAGACCCCCTAGTATTTTTGCAGCTAATGGTAAGCCTTTGCACTTCTTAACTATTTTTCTACCAATTTCTTCCAAATCCGGGTGTATGCTAGAATTTCTAACATCAAATGCATGTTTAGCAAGTAAGGACCAACAGTCATTATCAGTTAATTCCTTTAGATAATGGGTTGGAACAGTACGCATGGTTGATGCTACATTGGCATCCCGTGTTGTAATAACAATTTTACTTCCTTGTGCCCCAAACTTAAAAGGTATCTGCAAAATTTCCCAATCAGTATACTTACATTTCCAAACATCATCTAAAACAAGCAAAAATCTTTTCCCCATTAATCTTTCCTTCAACTCGAGTTGGAGCTGATTTGGGGTCTGGGTATCACAAGTCAATGAAGTAACCTCCTTAAGGATATCTTTTGTTATCTTAAAAACATCAAATTCTTCTGAAACACAAACCCATACTCTGACTCCAAACCATTCTTGCACTCTGCTGTCATTGTATACAAACTGAGCAAGGGTTGTTTTACCAACCCCTCCCATGCCCACAATGGGTATCACACCAAGGTCATTCCCATTTGCGTCATCACGCAACAACATCTTTATTAGAGCTTCCTTATCATCATCCCTACCATAAACACCAGACTCATCAATTAGAGAAGTAGTAAGTATTCTCTGTAAAAATGGTTTCTCTTCAATACCCTTTCTTAAACCAAGAAACTCCTTTTGCTTCACTAAAATTTCAAGCATTTCAAGAATATCATCTAATTTATCTTTCATCCCCTTTTTAAAAGGATTAACATAAGAGAAAAAGCTCCTCACCTTATCTCCATGAGTTCGATATCCAGCTTCAATCTTTAACCGGAAAGCTTTGTACGAAATCTCATCCAACAAATCATCAGCTTCATAGATAGCATCTTTAAGAGCATCAAGCCACTCTCTTACACCTGGATCAGTAATCTGCTTCTCTTCTGCATCATCCAGCACTCCATTAACAGACAACATTATTGTCTTCAATTTCTTCAAGCGACTCTCACTAATCCTTCTTCCTTTGATGAAATCCACAAACTCCTGAGAAGCAATATTCTTTATCAAGACATCAAGAAAAGCAGAGAGAATTGGTCCTCCCACCACTGCCTCAGCCATGAATTCCTCACCAATGAAGAGCTAAAAAAAAAAACAATCAAACAAGAAATTTTGAGACTAAATCTGATAAACTTAAAAAATTTCTTGTCCTGGGATTCCTATAATTGATTTGACTCGCAAATAAATTTACAAGGCAAGTCAAGTCAATACATTATCCTTCTTCGGTAAAATACGTTGCAATAGACCGGAAACTGACGAAGAAAATTGAGGGGAATAAAATACTTTTAAGGGGTAAGTACTAAATAGCTTGATACTCTTTGTCTTTCTTGAATAATAGTTTACACCCTGTTCGGGAAAGCTTTAGGCTTGTTTGTTTTCCTTAAAAAATATTTCCTAAATAATTTAGTTTTCATTGTTGGTTGAATATTGAAAACTAGTTAAATTTTTTTAACTTATAAAATCATAAAAATATAAATAATAATAGAAATTTTATATTTTGAAAATTTTATTGTTAAATATGAATAAAATAAAAAATTGATAAATTATGAAAATTGTCGGTGATGACCGATAGTGTTGACATGTGATGAATGGTAATTGATAACAGTGACTACTGATAATTAATAAATTAAATAATATGAATTTATAAGTTTATAATAGGTTTATTAATGTTTAGAAAATATTTTCCTCCCTTAAAAAATGGAAAGTCATTTTCTTTAAAAATGACTTTATTTTTCTTTGATCATGAAAATATTTTCTATTGATTTATTTCTCTGCATGCCCAAAATAATATAAATTGTGAAAAATATTTTTCTGCAATTTATTTTATGAGAATAAACGTAAGCTTAGAAGAAAGAAAATGGATGCGAAAAACATAGAAAATGGAAAATAAAATTGAAGGGAAGTTTATTTTCTTTTTTTTTTTTTCAAATAAAACTCATTTTCCTGCTGTATTGCATCATGTACTCGTGATTTATTTATTTTTTTTATTTCTGATCTTTTGTTATTTTTTATTTATATTATGATAATTATAAATCAACTTTAGAGCATGATAAGATACAATGACTCTTTAAAAAAATTTTCATACGTACAATAGATCATTTTGTATCAACGAAACTGAAATAGCATCACTTCTCTCTCTCTCTCTCTCTCTCTCTCTCTCTCTCTTTCTCTCTCTCTCTCTTTTAAGCAAAGCAAAAAGAACATAAAAAGGTAAGAGCATTTGAGGTGATCTATATTAGCTTGTATCGTAATTTATCTAATAGCCACATTTAGGGGGTCTAACATGAATCGGAATATTTCAATATAAATCTAAATTCCAAATCAAATATTAATTTGGAATGAAATTTTAGAATACATAATTTAAAATGGAATGTAATTTTTAAATATATGGAATATGAAATGAAAATTAAAAAGTAAAATTTCATATTCCAATCTATATACCGAATTTTTATTTTATTATTCTTTAGTTTGTAAATATATGTTTTAAAATAAAATATTAGAATAAAATATCTTTAATTTTTTTATCTTTTTTAAGAAAAATTTTATTTAATTCTGAAACCACATAATTTAATAGAAATTTTAACTCTAACCCTAATTATTTATTAATATATACTATGTGCTTGAATACTCATATATATTTTTTTGGGCTGAAAATTATAATTTTAGTTATAATATCTTACCTTTTATTAAATTATATGGTTTGAAATATTTTAGTATGCTTAGACTCATAATATATATTTTTTTATAGATTTAATAGTTTTTAATGGATTTAATGACTACATATATTGATAATATCCTAATATGAATGATATTATCGTTTGCTGATTTTGTAATATTATTATTAATAATTATTAAGCTATTAATTATATGAATTGAATTATTAAATGTTAAGGGTGAAGTGTACCTATTATCTATAAACATGTAAGATTAAATATTATATTTAGTTATATGGGGTATTAATTTATTATTTTTAAAAATATTTTATTGAGTTATATGTGCTATTATTCCTTATTAGATTTAAAATTTTACATTTTAAAAAATGTTATAATATGTTAGATTTGTATTTATGGTTAAGAAATTTAAAACTACTGAATTCCAAACTGAATTTCAATGGAATAGTATGGAATAAAATTTTAATAAAACAATTTGATTTTATTCTTGATTCTCATATTTATAGGAAAGCCAACATATGTTCAAATTGGTTAGTTAGTTTTGCGGTTAATTTTCCATTGACTGTTCATAATCTAGATGGTTGTCCGTTAGATTTTACTGGTTTGAATTTCTCATGATGCTGCAGGACTAGCTTTGTTGCCTTCTATTTCTACAAAAAAAAAAAAAAAAAAAAAAAAAAAAAAAAAAAAAAAAAACTGAAAAAATCCAAGTGAGAAGAATTTAAAACATAAAAAATAGTCTTGACAATATGCAACAAAAAGGAAAGCAGTGAAAGCCAATGGGTGAAGTTCTAAGAGCTAAACCACTTCAATTAGAAGAGGATCTTTATAGGTTAAAATTGAGCCAAAATTATTTGTCTGAATGCCTCTAAACTAAAATGTTCTTACGAAGAAAATGCCCAAAACCTAAGATTTTTAAAAAATTGATAGTTGTTAGTTTGATAGCAGATAAAAAAAAAAAAAAAAAAAAAAAAAAAAAAAAAAAAAAAAAAAAACTGAAAAATCCAAGTGAGAAGAATTTAAAACATAAAAAATAGTTTGACAATATGCACAAAAGGAAAGCAGTGAAGCCAAATGAGTGAAGTTCTAAGAGCTAACACTTCAATTAGAAGAGGATCTTTTATAGGTTAAAATGAGCTCAAATTATGTCTGAAATGCCTCTAAAACTAAAATGTTCTTACGAAGAAAATGCCTCAAAAACCTAAGATTTTAAAAATTGATAGTTGTTAGTTGATAGCAGATAAATGATGGTTGTTTGGTGAAACTTTAGTAATGAATTTTTTTTTTTTTTTTTTTGAGAAAAATCAAAATAGAAATTTCATTGATTAGAAACTGTATACAGATACGGGATACAGATCAATCTTTTTCTATATTTTTATATAGGAAGTCTAATAATAAACCACTCATATAAAGAATAAAAAAATATAATTTTAATTTGAAGTATATGATTGAGTTGAAGAGTATAATATTTATGCTATAAGTGATCGCTTGCTTCATTTGGTGGTTATTTATGGTCATTGTTGGACTCCATGATCTTTCTACAAGTTTAATATGATTGTCTTCAAATTTCTTCCTTCTATCGGAGATGAGATCTACACTTCTTTTTGCATAACTATCTAAATAATAAAAAACACTGGACAAAATCACTATAATGGTGATAACAACAATTTATAACTAAGTCTGAAAACAAAATTTTAAAATATGGGCAATAATAAATTTCTATATTTGAGCGACAATAACTTAGATACGTAAACAAATTTGAGAATTATTTGTAGAAAAATAAACAAAAAAAGGAAAGAGATGACCACAAATAAGAGCTCACTGGTTGCCGTCCGTAGAAGGAGAAAAGAGAGTTTAGGTTTTAGATTTTGAGAGAAATATAATTTAAATGAGAGCTAGTAATGGTTATTGTTAAAATATAAAAGAATCATTAAAGATATTTTATCTTCGAACATAATATAATTAAAATTTTATTTCTTTTATAAGTAAAATGTTATCTAATTTAAAATATTATAGTTCATGGATCACAGTATGATGAAAGCTTTTCAGTTTTATAATTTAATGCGTCTAATTTCATTTTTTATTGAGATGGGGCAAAATTCTCATTTTTATGTTTAATGGGTATTAAAATTTTATTTCATAAAAAAGTATTAAATATATACGAGCAAAATAAAGAACTCGAAATTGAGATCTCTTATTCAAGAGGTAGAAAGATTAATCAAACTACAAGACTATAATTACTTAACTTTCTTGAAATTCTTAACCAGTTTACCAAAGGCATTGGTTAGAAAAACCAGATATATATAAGAATATGGTGAAGCAGAATGCCCTTAGATAATAGGGAAGCTTTTCTTTCCGTTGCAAGATTTACTGGAAACATTTTCTTGCCTCATTTAGAAGTTGGATTTGTGACATTTACTCTCTTTGTCTTCCTCTTTTTCAACCAAGTCCTGAACTTGTTCCAGAACTTTTACGACATTTTTCATTTCTGGCCTATCCTCTGGTTCCTTTGACACACATTGGGATGCAATTTCAGCAACCTTAAACACACTGCTTGGTACATACTGGATTGAAGGAGCATTATTCACAAATTTGCAAAGTTTAGTAAGCTGATCACTTCCCCACTCAATTTGTTGTCCAAGTAAAGCTTCGTTGCGAAATAAAATTTCAAGTAGAACAATTCCAAAACTGTATATATCACTTTTTGCAGTTGCATGACCTTCATGAGAAGGGAATAAAGTAAGAAAATATCATAGAATCAAGGTTTAGGTTTCAGGAATTATTAATATACACTTTGGTCCATACTTATAGCATTTTTTATTTGAGGACCAAAATGTACATTAGATAAACTTCATGCGCTTTTTTGTAATCAACCCTTTTAGGAATGCTAAATTATATGAACTTTTTAACAAGATAGTGAAGGAAAATACCTGTGCTGATATATTCAGGTGCTACATACCCTGCAGTGCCCAAGAACTTTGCATGGTTTTCACTACCTGGTTTCTCATCCTTATCCAATCCGAAGCCCCAGAGTTTGGCATTACACTTCTGTTATTTTACAATGAAGAAAGAAATCAATGCACGTTTTGGAGAGTTGATTATATTGTTAATAAACTTATCTACAAATCAAGTTCGCGAATGGATTTTATTTTTTTCTTTACATACCGAATCAAGCAAGATGTTAGATGCCTTAAAATCTCGATATATAACATCTGCCTTGTCATGAAGAAATGCTAGACCCTTGGCAGCATCAAGGGCTATTTTCATATAATGACTCCAGGAAAGTTGTTTAAAGCAAGAACCAACTACAACCAGATGATCATGTAATAATATTACAGCTTTAGTTAGAAGCTCAGACCAAGTTTCAATAATCAATGATCTTACATTGAAATAGATGATTCCTCAAGTTGCCATTGGGCAGAAACTCATAAACCAGAAGTCGCTGGTCGTTCTCTGCACAGAAACCTATCAATTTCACAAGATTTGGATGACATTGCTTCCCCACACATTCAATATCTGCCTATTGTATAAGAAGAACTGAAACACATATCAATCTTTTATATATTGTCATCTACCTGAACTAAAATTACTAAAATCAGGGTACCGAAACATGTATTTATATGATAATATCCTGTGCTAAAAGGTAAACATTTGACCAACAGACTAGCTAAATGGTAAATAACAATGTACATTATGTTGCTGCTTGTGCGATTTGATTATACAAGTTCGATGTATGAGAAGCGCACTTGTTGGTAAGGTAAAAAACCTTTATGTTTTACGGCCTAAAGGGGATTAGTACATACTAAAGGTGGAGGTCGTCCTGGTTTGACCAGAAAAAACAAGCAAGTCATTAAGCCAAAGGATAGCAGAAGCAATACTCACCAACCACTCTTGTTGAGTCTTGCAACCCTTTCGATAGAACTTCTTTACCGCGACAACCGTACCTTTCTTATATGTTGCAGCCTTTAATGAATGCTCATTGATCCACCCCTTGAAGACACAGCCAGATTCACCATTACCCAACTTATAATGCAGGCTGAAGTTACTTGTGGCTTTTCTTAGTTCACGAAAGCAAAACATCTTCAAATTAGATGATGGTAGGATATCACTGCTTGTCTCAGCAGTTGAACGCATAATAGCAGATGAGACCTTGCTGCTTGACTTGCTCATAATTCCTACCTCAGCTACATATTTAGGTTCAGTCAGTTCTCTTGTGTATGATACCACCAAATAAAGGGTGCCCAAATATACCTCAACAATACCCTAAACACTATTTATTAGTTGTATATCCTCCTAAGAGTAGTTATTAACCTATATGATTCAATCGTTTGTTTACACTATCTGATGTCTGGAATTGTTACAGGTGTTTAGAAGATTAGAAAACGAGAGAAAACTATGAAAGGGAGAGAGAAAACGAGAGAAAACACATAATAGCAAATGTTTATAAGGGAGAGAGAAATTCTTCCACTAAAGGGAGAATTTCAAGAGTTTATAAGATGTTTCACATATTTTCTGCATCTTATCTCAGCCGCGCTTTTCATACAATTGAGAATCAGGAGGCTTAGCTTAACAGACTCTAATAAATATAACAACCTAGGAGAATCAACTAACTGAAGCTTAACTGACCCTAACTATATTTACTAATTTACCACACAACAAGATGGACATGGGTAAAATTCTTCAATAGTGAAAGGAATATTTTAGCAAAATAAAAATGAATCATGATGGTATAAAACTCTGCAGTAAACGTAAATCCACCATGTAGAGTTCAAAACCATCTTAGGACATTTTTGATTCGCATTCAAATTAGAAATGGAAATAGAAATTGTTTTTCAGATATAAAAACATCATATAAAATTCAAATTCCCAGTCAACCAAAAAGAAAGTTCTCGCTTCCTTTCTTATCCTAACTCTTCTCAGCAACCAAACAGAGAAACTATATTCAATCCCCAGCAAGCAACACAAAAATTACAAAAAAAAAAAAAAAGGCCTACCTATGGAAGTGAAGGCCACTTCAAATTTGATTCTTCCACTAAAGCTTAAATCTTGGCCTTAATACCAAACAAACCCAGCTGCTAAGCATCCCGATAATACCCAGCAGAAGAGAACTTAAAAAGAAACTTAACCCTGTAATGTGAACTTACAGAGAAGTTTGGTTTTAAAAATCAACGTCTTTCCATGACCGACCAATTTTAACTTTTGACAAATCAAACTAAACAAATACAAAGTGAACGCAATAATGATGGGTCCAGTTAACCCAGTTGATTCTCCACAAGAAGAAAGTTTTGGCCTCAGTCTGGCCAAGACTGCTGGACTTAGTCAATATTAAGGACTAAAAAGAAAAATGCCATCAATTCTCTTCCACACTTCAATTTCTCTATTTATTGTTTCTTTTCTTTTATTTATACATCAATATATTTATAAATACTTAATATAATCTCTTGATTTGAGCACTCATTAATTATAACTGGCTTCATAAAAATACATTTTCTTAGTATTCTGTTGATTTGATTCCAATTTAGAACATCGATTCAGAACGGAAGAACTATAACCATAACGATGGGAGAGGGTACAGAAAACTTTTTGTGGGGCTCTCCGTATCTTCCTTGGCAACTAGTTGCACTCTTTCCTATAATCTCTTCGTTCATTCATTTATTATTATTATTATTATTTCTTTGTAGCCAAATTTCCAAGTAGATTTACTTTTTCCTTGTGAGAATTGAGAAATGTTGCATTCATTTCAAAAAAGAAAAAGTAAGAAGAAAAAGACAGCTACTGTGGTAAAAAATGCATGTTAATCTAATAAGGAATTTGATTTATCTATCCTGCAGATAGGGAAAAAACCAATATTATATAACTGTACAATTAACTGATCATTCTTGTATGGAGTGACATTATATTGACTGGCTGCTACTGCTACTGTTAGGCTTGTGTTTATCAAGCAATGAAATATTTATCTTCATGCCTGTATAATGATCAGACAATAGCAATACCTGCTTTTCCTGATATCGTCAATACAACTAACGAAGAATGTCTCAAGAACAGGAGAAGAAGATGGCCTCAAGACAGCAAACAACTTTTCCATTGCAAACTTCATTTGAGTTTTTCCCTGCTATGATCAGAACCATTGCTTGATTTGTAATGCTTAGAGCTTTTGCATACTTTATTCTCATTGCAATCCTGAAGGTTTTCCAAGATAAGGACCACCTCTTTCATGTCTGGGCGAGACTTTAGTGCCTTTGATACACAATCGCATGCAAGTTGAGCTACTTTTAATGCACTCCTTCCTGAATGCTCACCTAAAATGGCAGGGTTCAGAATTCGGGAAATATTGCGGGTGTTGCTAATGCTTCTTGCCCACTCAGCTAAATTTTCTTCTTCACGTGGCTTGTTTCTGTCTATCACTTGCCTTCCAGATAACATTTCAAGGAGAACAACCCCAAAACTGTATACATCGCTTTTCATGTAAGTATGACCTTCATAAGAAGGAAGAAAGTGAGATAAACAAGAGAATGTTCTTTTTTTTGGGGCTACAAGACAATTAAAAATGGCCAAAACGAACTAATGCAAAACAGAAACCAAGTGATACCTGATCTCATGTATTCAGGTGCTGCATACCCTTCGGTACCCAAGAATCTTGTAGAAACATGGCTTTTACAACCTATTGGCCCATCTTTAGCCAATCATAAATCAGATAGTTTGGCATTATAGTTCTGTCATTTTTACAATAAACAAAGAACGTATCAGATAGTTATTAACACTGCAATTCTGCAACTCCCACAGAAACCAAATTCAGAAATAGAGCATTTTTGCATACCAAATCAAGCAAGATTTTAGAAGTTTTAAAATCTCGATATATTATATCTGCCTCATCATGAAGAAATGCTAGACACTTAGCAGCACCAAGTGCGATTTTCATACGGAGATTCCAAGAGAGTGGTTGAAATTGGGAATCCCCTGCTCCCACAGAATCATGAGGCACTGAGAAATCTTGCACTTTCAGTTAGAAGATAGAGCAGCCAATCAATTACTCACCTCCGAATAGTTGATTCTCCAAGCTGCCATTGGGCATAAACTCATAGACCAGAAGCCGGTGGTCACCCTCCAAGCAGTAACCAATCAATTTCACAAGATTTGGATGGTATAGATGTCCCATGTATTTGATTTCTGCCTATTGTCCAAGAAGCATACAAAAATTTACCAATCATACTATTTTCAAATATTGACATCTATGCACTATACAACTGGCAGGACATATAAAGATATGTACCCAAATAAGACAATTTAATAAAGGTTTTGCTATCATTGTAACCTTCAAGGGCAATTTGAAGCAAGAATTACCAAAGCACGATACATTATGGTATGTTTGATTGTATCTTAACTCTCATATGAGGAAGTTTAAGGGTTCTACATAAAATCCACGTAAAAGCAACAGAAATAGGAACACAAACTCAAGGATCGAAAAAAGGATACTCACCAAAAGCTCTTGCCTATCTGGGCAACCCTTTTGATTAAACATCTTTATAGCTACAGCCATGCCAGTGTCAGGCCTTGAAGGCTCTAAGGAACACTCATCAATCCACCCTTTGTAGGCAAGACCAAAACCAGCTTCTTCGAACACAGCATCCGGTCCGAAGTCATTTGTTGCTTCTTCCAGTTCACTGAAGCCAAAGCTCTTCAAATTGGGTGACTGTAGGATCTGACCAAATTTTGGGGTAGTTGAAGGCACTGACAGATGAGACCATTCTACTGACTTTGATAGTAACTTATTTCCATCATTATCTTAATTAAGACAGCACCAGATAACTCATTTCAGTTTTTCTATTTACTTTCTATGTATTTAATCATCCGACATTATTCCTGAAAATTAATTGTATGTATGTGCACCAGAGAGAAAATTTTCCTAAAACATAGCCAAAATTGTCAAATTTGTCTGGTGAAAACTGAGTGGAATTTAGAAAGCTATAACTTATCTTGACAGTTTCGGAAATCAAAGCTCCATTCCAGGTAAAATTAACGATGCCTTAATCACAAACAAAGACTCAAACTAACTGGAACCAGCTCAATTTTCTATGTTGTAAAATATAACTGGGTCCTTAAGTTCCAAATTAAAACTTAAATCTCTCTAAGTTTGAGAAAAAACTATGATGTTTCTAACTTTTGCTTTATTTCATCGGATTCTTCCGTCTAAAATATAAGCTCTTTCCTCCGAAAAGTGAGCATATTCCATCCAAAAAGTGTGTCTAACTAAAGGTAAAAACCTTACCTTTTGGATGGAAGGACATGATAGTTAGATGGAAGTATAAGTTAGGACGTCATAGTTATTTCTTGAACGTAGAGGGACTTAAATGTTAATTGAAACATAATTTAGGGATTCAATTATATTTTACACTTCTATATATCCTCTAATTCAACAAATTCAGGTATTCATTTTCAGAAAGACCTATGGCCACCCAACCATGCGAACCATTGTCAAATTTGAATAGACACTCTTATTACCCCAAAAGAGCACAACTAGATAGCAAAATTCTCAGATGGTGATTAGTGAACCAAATATTTTCCTTTTGGTAAAAAGGTAATCATGAAATGTTATAAATGTTAGCCAATGCTCAATTTAATATCAAAACAAGCTAAATTTCAGGTCCTAAAAATTGAAGAAAGTTCTCGCTTCTGTTTTTCTAACCTAATTTTTTTTCAGCATCCAAATAGAGCATAAACTGTCTAATGATCTAATCCAAAGAAAGAAAGAAAGCACAAGGAGATGATTGTGTTTTTGGCAATCTGAAAAGCAGGAATTTTGACAAGAAATGATTAACGAAAAACATACCATGGTGAGAATCACCCTTTATAGCATTTTCTGCACTAAAACACAACCCCATGAAGATTCAGAACAAAGCTCGAACCTTTACTCTTCTGGATCACAACACTCAGCTACTAAAGGACGAAGCTTTAAACGAAAATGGAAAATTACATCATGTAAAAGAAGAAAAGCTATGAAAATTCCAAATCCCAATTGGACATGATTGTCATTTGCAAGTTTTTGACTAATCAAAGTTAAACAATTCAATGAGAAAGAGGAGAGAGATAGAGAGCAGACTCATGTTTCTTTTTGAATTGTAGGTAATGCATATATAGAAACATTAAAGATTATATTAGTTTTCTAGCGTATGATACACCCACATAAAGGATGCTCACATAATCTTATTATGTCTTATAACCACTAAGAATCATGAAGCTCAGCTGAACAAACCCTCATATATATAAGAACGAGGCAGAATCAACTAATTGAAGCTTAACTATATTTCCTTCCAAAGACTTCTTTTACTCCAATATACTATTAAACTAAAAGAGCATAACAAGATGAAATAGCCCAAAATTCTTCAAAAGTCAGAATAATATTTTAGCAAACAAAAAAGAATCATGATGGTATTAAATTCTGCAGTAAAAGCTAATCCACCAGGAGGTAGAGTTTCAAACCATCATAGGACATGTTTGGTTCGCATCCAAATCAGAATGGAAATGGAAACAGTTTTCCAAATATATAAACATCATATAAAATTTGAATTCCTTGTCAATTAAACAAAAGAATAAAAATGAATTCCTATTTCAAAAATTGCATTCGCTTCATTATTTGCATAACCAAATGAACATGGCCTTAGAATAGACTTAAATCCCTAGTCTTAAGAAAGAAAATTCTGGCTTCCTTTCTTTTCCTGCCTCTTCTAGCAACCAAACAGAGCAACTATGCCGAATCCCACCAAGTAAATACAAACAATTCAAACATAACCATACCAAAAACAAGCCAAAGTAGCCAAAGAAACAAACTGTAAAGCATAAGGAATTTGTAAATTTTGAAACATATATACAATAGTGAATACCACTCTGAGATTTGATCCTTCCACTAAAGCTCAAATCTTGGCCTTCTTACCAAACAAACCCAGCTGCGAAAGCATCCCAAGAGTACTCTGCAGAAGAGAACTTACAAAGAAGCTGACCCTGTAATGTGAACTTACAGAGACGTTTGGTTTTAGAAAATCAAAGTCCTCCTTTATAAACTAATTAGTGGACTAAGGACATAACTGACCAATCTAGTTCTGACATATCAAACAAAACAAATACAAACTGGGTCCACTTAACCCGGTTGGTTCTCTACAAGAAGAAAGTTTTGGCCTCAATCTGGCCAACACTACTAAAATTCAATCAACTTTAAGAACTAAAAAGAAAAATGCCATCTATTCCATTCAGTTCTCTTCCACACTTCAGTTTCTCTATCTATTGCATCTCTTCTTTTATTTATGCATCAAAAATCTATATAATCTCTTGATTTGATTACTCATTAATTATGACTGACTTCATAAAAATTAGTATCGTGTTGATTAGATTTCCAATTTATAACATCAATTCAGAAAGGAAACTATAATCCAAGGGAGAATACTGAAAATTTTTGCCGAAGCTCTTTGTATCTTGGCAAAAAGTTGCATTCCTCGTATTCCTTTTTTTTTTTTTTAGTAGCATGATTTGACATATGATGTTCATTCTTTTTAAATTTATTTTCGAAGGAGATTTTAGTTTCTTCTTATGAAAAATGTGGCATTCATTTCAAAAAAGAAAAGGATAGATGTTGTGGTAAAGATGCATGTTTATATAATCTAACATTGAATTTGATTAATCTATCCAGCAGATAAGAGTAAAAACCAATACAATGTAACTGTACACTAAATTCATCTTTCTTGTATGGAGTGACATTACATTGAATGGCTCTACTGCTACTGCTAGGCTTCTGTTTATCAACCAATGAAATACTTATATTCATGCCTGTATAACGCTCAGCCAATAGCACTACCTGCTTTTCATGATGTCAATACAAATAATGAAGAATGTCTCAAGAACAGGAGAAGAAGATGGCCTCAAGTTCAGCAAACAACTTTTCTGTTGCAAACTTCATTTGAATTTTTTCCTGCTCTGTTTAGAACCATTACTTGATTTGCAATGCATGGACCTTTTGCATACCTCACTGTCATTGCTGTCCTTGAAGGTTTTCCAAAGTTTGGACCACATCTTTCATGTTTGGCCGATACTTTGGCTCCATTGATATACATTTGTATGCGAGTTGTGCTACTTTTAATGCACTGTTTCCCGAATGCTCACCTAAAAAGGCAGGATTCAAAACTTGGGAAGTTCTGCGTATGCTGATAATGCATCTTGCCCACTTAGCCAAATTTTGTTCTTCAGATGGCTTGCTTCTATCCATTGCTCGCCTTCCAGATAACATTTCAAGGAGTACAACCCCGAAACTGTATACATCGTTTTTTGCAGTAAGGTGACCTTCATATGAAGTAACAAAGTGAGAATTTTTTTTTTTTTTTTTTTTTTTTTTTTTTTTTTTTTTTTTTTTTTTTTGCAGTAAGGTGACCTTTCATATGAAGTAACAAAGTGAGAATTTTTTTTTTTTTTTTTTTTTTTTTGTATTTTTTTTTTTTTTTTTTTTTTTTTTTTTTTGGGTGGGGTGGGGGGAAGGTGTGGTGGTGTTACAAGACATTGAAAAAATGCCAAACATGAACTAGAGTGAAATAGAAACCAAGTGATACCTGTCCGGATGTATTCAGGTGCTGCATACCCTTCACTCCCCAAGACCCTTGTAGAGATATGGCTCTTACAACCTACTGGCCCATCCTTAGCCAATCCTAAATCATAGAGTTTGGCATTATAGTTCTGTCATTTTTACAATGAAAAAAGAACGTGTCAGATAGTTATTAACATTGCAATTCTACAACTCCCTCAGAAACCAAATTCAGTAATAGAGCATTTTCACATACCAAATCAAGCAGGATATTAGAAGTTTTAAAATCTCGATATATTACATCAGCCTTATGATGAAGAAATGCCAGACACTTGGCAGCATCAAGAGCAACTTTCATACGGAGATTCCAAGAGAGTGGTTGAAAGTGAGAATTTCCTGCTCCCACAAATACATATTTGAGGTCAGGATAAAACTTGCATTTTAAATTGGAAGATTGAACAGCCAATCAATGACTCACTTCCAAATAGATGATTCTCCAAGCTGCCATTGGGCACAAACTCGTAGACCAGAAGCCGTCGGTCATCCTCCAAGCAGTAACCAATCAATTTCACAAGATTCGGATGGCATAGCAACCCCATGTATTTGATTTCTGCCTATCATTCAAGAAACATTACAAAAATTTACTGATCATGCTATTTTCAAATGTTGACGTCTATGCACTAAAAGTAAAACTTCAACCAAAAGGACATATAAAGATATGTAGCCAAATAAGATGATTTAGTAAGCCATTCAAAGGCATTCTGAAGCATTACATATCAAAGCACTGTACATTATGGCATGTGTCTGGTTAATCTTAACTCTCATATGATGAAATTTAAGGCTTCTATAGAAAGTCCAATAAAAGAAACAGAAATGGGCTGATAAGCTCAAGGATAGAGAAACGATACTCACCAACAATTCTTCTCGACCTTGGCAGCCATTTTGGTTAAGCATCTTTACAGAAATAGCCATGCCTGTATCAGGCTTTACAGAAATAGCCATGCCTGTATCAGGCCTAGAAGGCTTTAATGAATGCTCATCAATCCACCCTTTGAAGACAGAACCAAAATTACCTTCTTCTAACACAGAACCCGGTCTGAAGTTACTTGTTGCTTCTTTTAGTTCACTAAAGCCAAAGCTCTTCAAATTGGGTGACTCTAGGATCTGACCATTTGTTTGCGTAGTTGAAGGCACTGTGTCAGATGAGACCTTGCTGCTTGACTTACTCATATCAGACTTACTCATATCATTCCCACCTTTGCCAAGACATTTAAGGTTCATCTCAATAGACATTAATGAGTGGTGCACAGACACACACATGCATATATGATTACATGATTGAGGAGTAATAGTTATGATAGGACCAGTATATACTAAATTTATGCTAAGAGATTAAAGCTGGAAAAGATTATTGGTGCTTGATGATATAATTTGAAATGCTGTTAACCATCCGTCATACAGTATATCCAAAAAGAGTACTTATACCCTAATAATATGCTATACATTGTTTGTTCTTAATATTTTTATGAAAATAACTTAGAGATCATTTTAAAAGATATTAACCCATACTTTTGGGGATGATTTATCTGCACTTGGACCGTATTCTGAACAAAGACCTGCACATCTGATAGGTGCATGGGGTTTTGTCCATTTTAATAAAGAGGGAGCTGGATTAGAATTATTTGAATTCATTGAGAAGTGCAGATTGATCCTCAGATGGTATTTGGTAATTAAGAAATCTAGAATTTCTGCTAAACCAGTACTAATGCCATTTTTGAGTGGATATTATCATGAGAATGAGTGAAATTTCAGTCTTCACATGCCCCTGAACTAGAGTTTAATATCAGCTTTAATGGTCTGAGGTCAATGGTAACTTATGTCCATCATTCTCTTAATTAAGACAACATCAGCTAACTTTTATTCCAGTTTTTCTATTTACTTTCTATGTATTTACTCATCTGACAATATTCCTGAAAAATTAATTATGTTTGTGTCAGAGAGAGAATTTTCCTAAAGCATTGCCAAATTTGTCAACTTATTTGGTGAAAGCCAAGTAGAATTTAGAATGGCTATAAGTTATCTTGATGGCTATAAGTTATCTTGATAGCTTCTTAAATCAAAAGCCACATGCCAACTCAAATCAACAATGTCTTAATGACAAAGACTCAAACTAACTGGAACCAACATTATTTCTATATTTCATCTCATCCACCAATTTCAGGTATTCACGTTGCCAAATTTGATTAGACACTGATATTAACCCAAAAGGGCACAAGTAGACAGCAAAATTCTCTGATGGTGAATAGTGAACCAAAGTTTTTCATTTTTAGCAAGAAAGTAATCAACCAATCGCATAACTATCAGCCAGAGCATAATTTGATATCAAAACAACCTAAATTTCAGGTCCTAAAAATTGAAAAAGAAAATCACTTATGTTTTTATACCCTAGCTTTTCTCAGCAACCAAACAGAGCATTAGTTGTCTAATACCAAGAAAGAAATAAATCACAAAGAATTGATTGTGTCTGGCAGTCTAAAAGGAGGAAGTTTATAAGAAAAGAGCAATTTGAAAACTTACCATGTGAGGAATTCACCCTCTGCAGCTTGTTTGCTGCACTAAAACACAACCCCATGAAGATTGAGGGACAAAATCGAATCTTTACTCTTCTGGAGCACAAGGCCTCCACAAGGCTCAGCAACTAAAGGATGGCCCTTTAGACAAAAAGTGCCAATCACTTCATGTTGTAAGAGAAGAAAAGCTAATTTCGTGAATCCCAATCGGCAATAATCGTCGATTGCATTTGCAAAGTTTTGACTCAGAAAAGTCAAGCAAGTCAACCACCAGAGGAGGAGGAGGCGAGGAGCGAAGTAGAATTCTGAATTGAATTTTTCAAAAGTTTAAATGATCTAAGTTTTTTTAAAGGACAAATACCCCTATTTATTTTTTTCTCCATTTTTCTTTTATAAACACGTTGACTTTTTATTAGGCTTTAATAAATTATTTAGATCATGTTGGTCAATAATTTTTTAAAATAGCTTTTTAGAATGTTAAAAAAAAATTTTTTTATTGTTCGGTATTATATTATTTAGGCTAACTTAGATATTAAAGTAATATTTTATAAAAGATTAACGTCTATAATATTTAACTTTTAGCGTCTTATAAAAAAATTGAATTACTAAAATGGCTAATACCATTGGATAGACCTTTAATCATTCGGTTTAAAAATATCATTTTTGCCATTAAATACTACTAAATTAGTAAATGTAAGAAATGAAAAATCAAAACTACGATAAGGTGAATAACAAAATAATTAAATATTATGAAACACCCTTAAATGACACATTTTAAACACAATAATTAAATAATTTAATTGTAGATTAAAAAGTAGGGATGAAATAATAATTTTGGTCAAATCTTAAGTGATTTTGTAGTATTTATCTTTTGTATTAACTATGACTTCAAATTGAATAATGCTGAATTGCCTCCCTCGAAGACAATATATAACTAGTCAAGTATGTAGGCGATGCGGACTATATAATTTATGTTTTTTTAAATTAAATTGAGTATAATTTTTAAGAAAATTATTGTTATTTATAATTATATTGCTTTAATTTAAATAATTTACTTAGTTATTTTTAATTAAAAAAAATAAAGGAAACTTATAAGCTTTTATATAAAATTCTCAAGTAATAGACTGAAATATTAATTAGCACAATTAATTATTATAAGTAAATTATTGTAATTCAAGTGATATATATTATAAAGTTTAAATTATTTTGTAATTCAAGTGATATAGTTAATTCAATCTATTTTTTTTCACCTTAAAATTCTCATATAATTCAAAATAAACTAGATGAGGTATCAAAGATATTTAATTTTAATGAAATAAAATTTTAGCAAATTGAAATTAAACTCTTTAATTCTATTTGTCCAATATTTAATTTTAATGAAATAAAATTTTAGCAAATTGAAATTAATTTTAATTCTATTTGTCAATGTAACTTTATTATTTAATTCATTTTTAGTAATTATGACTCTATTATAACTCCATTATGTTTTTTTTATAGATAAAAACTATTTAATAAAAAAACTCAATATTTATTAGTATTTATTATTAGTTTGTAACTCCATTATTTTATTAAATACAAAAAATATTAGTTATAATGAAAAAATAAAATGTCACGTCATCAGTTTCATATTTTAATATGTTGCCATAAAAATATATAAGCCTTAGAACTTATATATATATATATATATATTATCAAAGAAGTTTATCTTAATGATAGCCAAGCCTCAGTCTCTTAAATTGACAAATGTAAAGAGAGTAGTTATTTAGCTCATGTTTTATATTTTCAATAACGTATTTATTAAGATAATATCTATTATTTACATTTCGATCAAGATAATGTCATTAAATTAATTTAAAAATATATTAAAATACTGTTGGTTCATTTTTTGAGAAAAGAGCAACGAATCCGTTGGTTGACAGCTTGGGTTGGAGAATTGCGGGCGTGTCAAGTGTGTGAAGTATATCAACTGAGAAATTAATATCACGCTTGATCTGACTTCTAGGTTGTTGGTTTGGATCCACGGCAAACACTTCACTGGTTGTGCAATTTAAAATAAATTTGACTAGAGGAAATTGTAAAGAGAGTTTGATTGCTTGAAAAGTAAATTTTGATTGCTTGTATTGAAATGAAAGTTGTAATTACAGGAAATGTAATTAAACTATGCTTAGGAAAAATAAAGACAATGTTTTGAACATTAAATTGCTTGACTCATTGGAGAATTTGATTTAATTTGTTGAATTCGTTGGAAAATTTGGTTAAGCTTCTCTTGCTGGTTTTATAGGTTCCACAGACAGTTATCAAAAGGAGCCACTGACACACATTCTCATTAGTTACTTTGATCTCCCACCTTCCTGTAGAGCAATTGCTAGAGGAGTGCTTTTTTTGTTCAACTGTAGCCCACGTTTCTATTGTCTCTTTCTTTTAATTAATTAATTAATAAAAATTAATTACCCAAAATAATATTAATTGAGCCCTAATTAAATAAAATTCAATCCCAATCCAAAATACTAAGCCTAATTCTAAAAAAATCACAAAATAGATTCAACAATTGCCTCCATATTAAGTTGGCTTGATAAATCATGCTTAATATGCTAATCCATTTTGAAAATCCAAACTCATTTATGATTTAAAATTTTTTTTTTTTTTTTTTTTGTTCAACTATAGCCCACGTTTCTATTGTCTTTTTCTTTTAATTAATTAATTAATAAAAATTAATTACCCGAAACAATATTAATTGGACCCTAATTAAATAAAATTCAATCCCAATCAAAATACTAAGCCTAATTCTAAAAAAATCACAAAATAGATTCAACAATTGTCCCATATTAAATTGGCCTAATAAATCATGCTTAATATGTTAATCCATTTTGAAAATCCAAACTCATTTGTGATTTAAAATTTTCAAAATTAAAATACAATCTCACAATCACACTCTCTTTGCAGACTCCCAACAAACAAACAAAAAATCTAACACTTCATTCACCTTCTCTTTCATATCTTTAGATGCCGCTGTTCACCAAGGTAAGCGCTTCATAGACAAATCATAATGCACCATTATCAAGCATAAAAAAAAAAAAATCACTGTTAGCGTCGTTTGATCCCCAAAGAAATTCACAGATGGCCAATTGCGTTATTTTTTTTAATTCTTTTCTCTTCTTTCTTTTCTTGGCTCTGCTTTAGCCTAGCAATCATTATTTTCTTCAAAATTTTGGCTTTTGGCTTCATTTTTAAACCCTTTTTTTTCCTTTTTTAATAATATATTTATATAATAGTTAATATATATATATATTTAATAGATGGATAATTGTATCTTGTCTTAGGTGAATTTTTTAAAAATCATAGCTATGGAACAAATAAAAAACTATTCCAGAGGCACCAAATTTTTTATACCAATTTCACTGGCAACCATTTTTCCAGGTTATGGCACCAATGAAAATATATTTATACTCTAACCAAGGGAAAAACTAGTTCCTCTAATATGAATATAAATTGTGTTGTGAATTATGTACCTTTAATTTTCTGCTAATAGGTTCCACTTCATTTGCTAACTCCTTGGGCGGTGCCCTTACTAATGCACCAGCTCCTCAAGTAAGTTCCTCTACTAAACTTTGTATCATTTCTTTCTATCAGTTTCTCTCCATGGACATTTGCGACTGGTTC